AGGGGAGGGGGGATAGTAGAGGATAGGAAAGGTAGCAGAATACAACAGTTTCTAATAGGGCATTATGTAAAAATGTGGATGTGTAACCGATGTGATTCTGCAATCTGTATATGGGGTAAAAATGAGAGTTCATAACCCACTTGAATCTAATGTATAAAATATGATATGTCAAGAGCTTTGTAATGTTTGAACAACCAATAAAAAATAAATTAAAAAAAAAGAGTTCAAAGGATAACTAATTACTTCTAAATGGTGTGAATCAAAAGAGCCTTCAAAAGATATTAGTCTACTATAGATGTTCAACTTATGATGGGGTTATATTCTGATAAACCCACTGTAAACTGAAAATAGTATAAGTCAAAAATGCATTTCAGATAGGCATGGTGGTACATGCCTGTAATCCTCATTTCTCAGGAGGCTGAGACAGGAGGATGCCAAGTTCAAAGCCAGCTTCAGCAAAAGTGAGATGCTAAGCAACTCAGTGAGACCCTGTCTCTAAAAAGACAAATTAGGGCTGGGGATATAGCTCAGTGGTCCAGTGTCCCCGAGTTCAATCCCTGGTACCCCACCCCGCAAGATGCATTTCATACTCCTAGCCTACTAAACACCACATGGTAGCAACGTGGTTCAACACAGAGTGTCATCTGTTGACCCTTATGATCACATGGCTGACTAGGAGCTATGGCTTAYTGTCTCTGCCCACCATGACAAGAGAGTATCACCAGAAAAAGATAAAAATTCAAAACCCACAGGGTATGGCTCAGTGGCAGAGCACCTGCCTAGTATGTGTGAGGCCCTCCCTGGGTTGAATCCCAGGACTGAAATTTAAAATTTGGCCTAACTGGAATCTATTCATTTTGTGCTTATTAATCACAATAAACTGTGTGCTGCTTTACATTTGGATTTCATTACTAATCAATTATTTAAAGTGGCAATTTTAAAGTTTTTTTCCTCTATTTTAAAAGCAATATGCTCTCGTTAGAAAATGTAGAAATGATAGAATAATGAAAAGATGTTTTATTCACAATTCTTCCATCTAAAGACAATCATTTAGTCTATTTCCATTTGTTCTTTTTTTTACATATAACATGGTGATCTCCTGAAAATTTTTTTCCAACCCACCTTGCTTTATTCTTTAAAATTTACTCCTGGGAAAACAGGCACTAGAGATGTTTGTTATTCAAATGTAACTCCATAGTGGGTGGGTCTATGAAGGAGCCTCAGGGCCAGAGGAAAGCCTAAGGTGCCTTCAGGTCCAGAATGAATGGCATTCACTTAGTGTTCCCAGCTTTTTAAGATGAAGAATAATGTAATGTTTGTGCCAACAAACACTTAAAGACAAAAATTAAATGAGAAGGCTGTCTCTATCAGCTGGGCTCAATGCAGACTAATGCAAGAATTCTGGGTAGGACGGAAAGCTGCTCCAGGGTGACTTAGGAATTGGCAACAGGACAGTAGACATTCACCTTACACATTCTAGGGGACCTAATGCATTCTTCTGGAGAAACAAATTTTCCTCGGCTTTCATTGCCTTAAGTCTTTGCCAATGAGCAGTTTTATAACATCTATAAGAAAACTAGATCACATGGTGGAAAACTCCATCTCCAGATCTCTTAGCTGCACAGACTGGCTCCCTCCTGGGGATCTGCGGCCTGCAGTTCTAGCATCTGCAGGATAGAATCACTGTCAGGTTCTACCCTGGCATAATGACTGCTAATATTTTCAAAAGACTAGTAGGGATTTTTTAAACTATAGTAGACAATAAAATGTTGACCTTCTTTCCTAGTCTCATGAAGAAGAGAGAGAATAGACAAGTAAAAATCCAGCATGCCTAAACTGAAGGAAAGGGGCAAAGAAGGCCACCAACTCTGCCAGGAATTTTCTAGGCACCTCACGTTTAATCCTCATAACAATTCTCTCAGAAAGATATCTTCATTTCTTACTTTATAAATGAGAAATTTAGACTTAGAGAAGTTTTCCAAAATCCTACATGTAAGGAACAGGGCAAGAATTCAAACATCTTTGCTTTCCTCACTGTACCATAATGTCCCGCATGGAAACCTGGATAAGTTCCTTCCGGTCCACCCACACTGTGGCCCCCCCTTGAAGTAAAGGCAACAGATGCCTAAAGCAATCCTATACATACCAACAATGACTCAGGCCTTGGAAACAGAGGTCTGAGTCATCACACCAGGATAGGAACCCTCACCATCTCATCAGTTAGCTAAGGGCAAGGAGAACATGGAATGAATGAGAAGAGAAAGAGAAAGGAAATTCCAGCTATGACTTGGTAACCAGTTTCAGAAGCAAGGACTGATTTTCACTTGTTAGAACTCAAATGTACAGACAACCTCTTGGGGTTCTTACCAGTTTTGAGTGATGAAAGTCTAATATGTGACTTCATTGAAGAGGAGGAGTGGAGATCATCTGAGATGAGGAGATGAAGAACTGAAAGGCTTAATTATTAGCAATCATCTTTAATAGAGATAGTAAGAATGGGGTAGAGAAAATTTCTATTAATTTTTATCCTGCTTTCTTCCAAAAAGAATTTCAGTAAACCACACAGGATTTTAAAAGACTCAACCTTTTAAAAGACAGAAAATATACTGGAAAGACAGAATAGTTAGTACAAACCTAGCTGAAGCTGGGTGTGGTGGCATATGCCTGTAATCCCACTGACTTGGGAGGCCGAGGCAGGAGGATTGCAAATTTGAGGCCAGTCTCAGCAACTTATTGAGATGGTATCTCAAGATAAAAACAGCTAGGGATGTAGCTCAATGGTAAAGTACCCCTGGGTTCAACCCTCAGTACCAAAAAACAACAAAAGGGGGGAAAAAAGGAATCTAGCTATAGGGAACAGGCTACTAGAATTAAAATGTATA